TTCATTAAGCTTTATTTTTATGCTTTTCTTTTCTATCTTCATAATAAGTAATTTTGAAATGGAAATATTTTCATGTGTAATTTTTGAAATAAAAAAAGCCAATAATGGAATTATTGTGAAAATGTGGATATATAATGAATTTCTCATTCTATTTGAAGATGATCACTTATTAATTAACTGTTGAAGTGTTAACATAGTACATTATTATGTTTATTAATTAACATAGTACATTATTGTGTTTTACTAGGAATAAATGAAAAGAAGTTCACTTTAGCGCTGAATTAGCTTCAAACGTTTTGATGCTCTTTTCAATTTACAATTCTCGTTTGCTACTTCTCAAATATAATGGATTTTCTTTAAGTTCAATGTTTTTAAAGCAATTTTCATAATATTTTCCGTTAAATTAAAGTATTATGGCAAATAATTGTGTCATTTTGATCTCTCATCCATGAAAAATCTGAATACCCATCTCTGATAATTAGTAATTCTAACATGTTTGTATAATATTTCCGATATCCTTCTATTATAATATCTAAATAAACAATTAAACATTTCATATGGATTTTCCATAAATGCATGTGACAAATTGATCATTTTTGTTAGTTCGTAAGTATTTTCTCTTTCATCTTTACCGCATCTTAAATATACACATAATGTAGTATACAGCGGGCTGATTTGATCACTTAATTGTCCCGGAAGCTGAACCCATTATCAGAGACATATATCTGGAAGATAATATTTCTGCAGTGTATTTTTGCAATAAATTTACATTTCCGCTGAATCTTCAATAAAAAATAGCAAAATTTGTCATTCAAATTTTTGCTGATTTATAAAAATTATTGCAAGAAAAATGATTGATTTTGCCTTATAGATTTCTCAATGAAAAATTTGACGTATACTTTTTTTCTTTTTGGTTCAAGCATAATTTATAAAAATATGAAAAAGAAAAAAACTTAAACCTAAAAGTATGATGCAGATGCAGGACGTGCAAGTTTTGGTTAATAAACGAGATGCAAAAGCTTTGTTCAATAACAAAGCTAATGATGACATATTGTTGATGATAAAATAAGTTACCAAGGCGACAAAATGATTCATTTTGATGGAATAATTGTTTGCCGTAAATGCAAAACTATTGAAATATGCTATCAGAAAAACCCATTCTGTACAAATTTTCAAACCATTATCTTTTACGACAACAATACATTGATCGTTTGTTACAAACTAACTGTGCAAATAATTTTGAAAATGTTTAATTTATTACTTATGAAAAAAGCGCCCATAACACTGCATAGTGGATGACTTAAACAGAAATTGATTTCTGCCAACAATAAAGATTTACTGTAAAAAAAGACCTGAAAATAATCAAAAACTTTTAAATTTTACATACTTGATCCAATTATCATAAAGTCATACCTCATTTCAATTAATATCAACAGCATATTTATTGAAAATCTTTGCTTTGAGTCGTTCATACTTCCAATTTTGTCATTTTATATCTTGAAAAAAAAAAAAAGAGAAATATTAAAATCAACTGAATTTACTTGTGAAATAATCGTGAAATCAAAATTCACAGCACAGAAATGATATGATGTTTTTCTTATGCACTGCAATTATTTTGAGGTAAATATTGTTCCTGTTTTACGTGCATCAGATTGCTAGTTGACTTTAAATATGGATAAATTACAAAAACGTAAAATATTTTAATGAGAAAAATATTTCGCATATATTTTTGAATTCTTACAAGCAACATTGACTTTCGTAATGCTTTTTCCTTCATAAATATCCGTCATAAAACAATGTTACTCCAATAATTCTCCAATTAATCTTGCAATTCAACTGAAAGATAAAATTTTATCGTCACAAACAAACAAACAAAATGTATATTACTAAAATGATAATCCGATAAAAATTGCATTTGAACAAAAATCAAAACCCAACGATAAAATTAAAAACAAACAAAATTAATTTGGAATTCGAAATCAAATGCACATCAAATCACAACATTAAAATTTTCATAGTCCTTCCCTCGTTCCCTAGAAAAATTGCTTATTGTGGAAGCTGACAATTTTTCTAAATGTAAATTTGTAATAAATTTCTTACTAACTAAACTTTCTCATCTAAAACAATAAATAAAATAAACATACCAAATAAAATGCACTGAAAGTTTGCTTAACTAACGCTAAGATTTTGAATCTTAAAATTTCGAAATTCTTTAAAAAAGTACAATCGTGTATTGTTGCAGAAATTGCAAGCGTTTTATCAATGAGTAACTGGAATTTTTTCACATTTTTATCCAAGAATGATGATTCATGCACTTTAGTGGAAAGCTTTATGTAGCATTAGAATTTTCCTGAAATGTTCGATGTATGTAAATTAGTTGGCTCAGTTTTCAAATTGTCAAAATATATCAATAAAAAATAATGATAATAATTTTTTACTATGTTCATGCTTGAAAATTTTTTTCCAAATATTTGAATCTTTAAAATAGACAGCAATTTGCTGAGAATTCATTGTTGAAAAATCGGAGTTGCAGCTAACAAAATTTTCAAAATACATCCATTTCAAAATGTATCCTTGTAGAATATGCAACATTTTAAGCTCATAAAGTAATTCTGCAAAAATATTCGGAAATTTCTCATTAAAACGACTGTTTCATATTCGAATATGCAAAAAAAAGCAGATAGAAATTGTTTAGAAACACTGCATATGTTAACACTTGCCGCTTTTGTATTAGCCGATAAAAGTTTGCTAACATTTTGCAGATTGCTTTTTAACATAAAGAATTTTTGATGAGCAAAGATCGTGAGGACACTTTTGAGTTACATTATTTTAATACATACAAAATACAAAAGTCAAATGGTACCATTAACATTTGATCGGGTTGGCTAAATAAATAAAGTTGTCAACGTGAAACTCACAATTGTCGTCTTTAGCAGAGAAAGAGTAGTATAAATTCCCATTCTCGGATCAATGTAGCCTAAAATATTATTCGGCGATGGATCAGAATGATTAATTAAATAATTATCACTGCGTTACTTTTAATCGCAGTAATCAACTTGTATTGAAATTTGTGCTTGGGAGTATTACGAATTTTTAAAAACAAACAACAATAGCTAATCGCGCCTTTATCAGTGTCCAATTATCAATAATAACAGTTTCCTTTGTTTCATCTGAAATACCAATGCTCTTTCACTTTTCATCAATAATAAACTTTTTTTTAGATCTATTTTTAATTTTTTCTACGTGCGTTTTTTTTTGCCCTCAAAAAATTCCCATTTTTTTTCCATATCGTTTTAATTTAAGAGTGAAAGCTCTGATTAGACAACAATTGAATTTTGGGGTCCTTTTAATTGCAAACTTCTGATAGCATATTTTCAACTTCGGTTGAAAATTAACATGCTTATTCTTAATAACACTTTAAATACTTGACGTTCGGAATAGCGATCTCAAATGATGACCATCATTAGTCCTAACTCAGAGGATGATCTCTATTAGCTTATGAATTGAATTAGTGATTTTGCACTTTAATTAGTGCAAATCCGTTAATTATAATCACTCCATATGTTACTTTTATCATGTATCATAAATAATTTAAATAAAGCTTTATTGATTAGCAGAGGAATTAATAATTAGCCGACGTTATAGAGTAACTGTACTATTTGAATCGAACTGTCAGACGCGTGGACCAATAATTTTACTTTTATTGAGATACCGCAAATGATAGATAACAGAATAATATATAGGATAGAATTTGAGAAGTATAATTTTGCAAATTAAATTTAAAACAGCCGAAGATTACCAAATTAGAAGAATTAAGGTCAAATATATAATTCACAGCCAAAGTTTTGGTATTAACCGTCGAAGTTTGTTTTGGAGGAGAGAATTTTGCCGTCTCTCGCCAGTAACAAATATTTGTATGAATTCAAGTGTGATCGGATTGAACTCAGCTAATTCGGCAAGGCTTATATGCGTTAGAATTAGGCGTGGTTTACAGTGGAAGCTGTTAAGGACCAATTACAACATAAGTATTGTAATAAGATTCAATGAGAAAATAAAGATGAGAATTTGGATGAACATTCTAAGTGATTGACAGGAAAATGAATTTCCTGTATGCCCCCAAAACACAAGATATGGGCAAAAACAAACACCAAACAAAGACACATTGGAATTTGATGGGAAAAAAATCTAAGAAATGTCAATCAGACAGATCACAAAAATGAAATAGCTAATGAGTCATGGAAAGCATTTCTTTTAATTTGTATAAAATTATTAAAAAAAATTGTTTCGGAATTTCCGACAGGAATTGAATAAGCACGGTTATTTTAAACCACAATAACAGGGTTTTATCAAAATATGCTTGCAAAGAGCAGTTTTTTTTTTCCTTGATAAGAGAATAGGTATGCAAACATAAAAAAATCGAACCATTAAAGGATGATTATTACAAGATTAATTATCAAATGAAAACGTTAATTTGCGATAATTTGAAAATAAGCATAGAGATGCGAAACAGTGATGAGAATTGACGAAATGATTCATTAATCAGATATTTTTTAACATTTATTAAATTATAAATTGTATCGGTGAATTATTTGAGTGAAAAATATTTTTACAACAGTGGAAACTGTAATTGTTTAAATATTTTTATTTTTATAAATTTTACTTTTTTTTTCCACATCTCATGGAAGAGAAGGAAGATATAATAGACATACATGATATTCTTCCATTACAATTCAATGATGTAAATATCTTCTAGCATATTATTAATTTCTAACTTTTTACTGATATAATCTATTCCAAATAGTTGAACAAATCAATTGGACACACTGAACCGTTATCACTTGATTGTCCTAATGCATATTCATTTTCTCAGGTAATTCAATTCCTACTAAAAATTATTCGGTGATGATGAATTCTAATCTCGTAACATTTACTGGAATTAGCTTTTTATTCATATTCGAATGATTACTTCAATATTTTGAGTATTTTGTTAGTATTTCAGAATGATTAAACAAGCAATCATCGTTGCCTTACTTCTTCTGGTTATGATTATTCCATTGGTATCGTTATCTGATGATATTTATTTGGGAAAATTAAAAAAATCTGCCGATATATTTTATAGGTAATCATATTATCATCAGCAATAACATTTTTTTTTTTTTTATTTCATCTGAAGTATCACTGCTTTCATTTTCATTATTAGCAAAGTTTTACAGTATTTTCATGAATAAGCAATTTGACTTAGCGCTCAATTTGATAAAAGAAATGGGAACAAAAGATAGATCGGTAATTGTATCGCCTATTTCGATATCAGCTCAACTTTTTGGCGTTTATCTCGCAACGCATGACGAAACTAGAAAAGAAATAAGTGAATTTCTTGGAAAAAGTAATTATGATTTAAAAAATTATTTAAGTTTGACATTCCGCTCTATTACCTAGAAAACATTTAAAATTTAACCAACCATAAAATTTGGAAAAGATTTAAAAAAATTTAGTCAACCATAAAATTTGGCTACATGATAAAAATGCCATTAACTGATAGTTTCGATGAAGGAAACACTTAATTAACTTTAATCTTTCAGGTACAAGTCGATCAATCCAAAATTATTTTGGTAATTTGCTATTTCGAATCTGCGGTAGAAAAAATGACAATTATACGTTTAATATAGCAAATCGTTTATACGTACCAAAAAGATTTTCCATAAAACCATTCTTTTCATTTGTATTGCAGTTTTATTTCAAGGAAAATTTACATTACTTCACCTATGAAAGAAGAAATGAACTTATTCAGGTATGAACATTAAGTAAAAGACAAAAATAAGACGATAAAGGACAGTATGAGCAAGAAAGTCGGAAATCACCTTATCCATCGGATCTATTAATTTTCACTTCTTTTTAGGAGGTTAACAATTGGGCTAAAGAAAAGACAAACGGAAGAATAAACGAATTGATGGGGACGGCTAATATTAATCCAAAAAGCAAAATGTTGCTATTCAATACAATGTACTTTAAAAATATCTGGAAAGAACAGTTTATCAGTGCAAGCATTTGGGATAAACAGAAAAAGGCAAATGTTTTCCTAAATGTTACAAGTAGAAATTAAACATGAATAATTATTCGTTGTTAAGTGAATACGTACGTGTTAAATGAATACGTGTGAATAGTCACTCGGCGGCAATCATTCTTTTTTCTCTCAGGTTTCAATGATGGCTTTAAAGGCGGAACATTCGCATTACATTGATAATTTTGTGCACGTTCTCAAATTACCTTATGTTTATGATGGAATACAAATGATAATCATATTGCCCAAGCAAATTTTTCAATTATCCAATGTTCGAAATAAAATGACAAAAAGCGCTTTAATGAGCTACATTGGCAAATCTAAGCCTTCTAATGTAACAGTAAGTTGTAAAATTTTTGTCTTTAAAAAAAATTGAAGATCATGTTTAAAAAAAAGTTTGACCTATCTTGTATTGTTCATTTTCAATCATTACCTATTATCTATTAGTTTAAAAAGCATTTATTCCAACTAGGCACGTTCGAAACAAGTAATTTAAAATAAAAATACAGAGTTTTTTCCTTACCTACCTAATTATTTCTTGTAAATGTGTTAGTTTGTTTAGAGCTGTTTTAAACTTTCAATGGATTTTTGTTTTTTTTTTCTTTTTTATTGAGACAAATTAAGCATTTTAAGAGCAGAAAATTCATCAGAACAAATAAACATTTGATAATATGACCGAATTTTCAAATTGAAATTGAAGTAAATTTGGGAAATCCGGAGCTAATTTATTTCTACAATTTTAGTTAATATTACCGAAGTTTCAAATCGAAACCGAACTGAATTTGAAAAATCTGAAAACATTTGGCGACACAAATATTTTTAGCAAAAATGCTGACTTCCAAGGGATTAGTGACGATCCAATTTCCGTCAGCAATATTATACATCGATCGTTCTTTGAGGTTCGTTAAATGACATAACTTTTCTGCTCAAAAATTTGCAATTTTAGGGATCAAATACAGAGCATTTTTGCATTTTTTTTTTTACTGTAAAATTTCTTCAGATAAATGAAAAAGGAACAGAAATTGCATGTGAGACAGAATCCGGTTCCGGTAATTTTAACAGATCTGGGTCGTTCATAGTTGATCAACCATTCCTATTTTTTGTTGTTAAGGAAGCAAATATTATTCTTTATGCAGGCCAATATGGTGACTAATGTTATTTTTTAAATATTAAATATATTTTTATTATTTTGTTTTTGTTGTTTTTTTTTTTTGTCTACGTCATTGTGCTTATATTTTGACTTCGTGATTTTAACAATTTGATGAGCAAAAACATATCCGCTCTTCAGCATCATCATCATCCTCGTTTGTACACAAATAACAAATTTTTTTTTCTTTAATAAAGTAACAGAACTGCAAAAAAAAATTAGGTTAGTTGATGTATGAGATTGATATAAAAAATATAAGAGACCATTTGCGGTATCGTCGTTCAGGATCGTTAATTACAAAAATGAATAAAACATATCAAATCATTTGAACACTCGAATATTTAATAACAAAAGATTTCTATATAACATAGAATTTTACAAAAATACTTTGATTATATAAATTATTCGATATTATAAAGTCATATCGTATTTTCGGCGTAATATTACCATGTATTCTTTTGTCTACAAAAAAAAAAAAGGAAAAAACAGGATTTCAAAATTGCGAAAAGAAAGTAAGTAGAATTTCATTTTTTAACGTAAAAGATTCAAAAACTGAGAGATCAAAAAGAAGTGCAAAGAATTGCAAACACTTTTATGTTGAATTAAAATCCACCGCAACGATGATATTCAATTATCAGGTTCAGTTCAATCATTGCTATCAGATATGAGAAATATTTACTGATTATGAGCAGTGTAAGCAGAAATTGCATTGATTTAATTTCATCTTTGATGCGCATGCGCAACATGCATGTTGAACGTTATGAATGCAAAATGTTTGTAGAAGATTGAAAGCTTCAAAATTGCAAAGTCTTTTCAATAAGAATTGTAATTTTGAAGCTTGCAAATATTTGCACAACTGTGTTTAAACACAGTAATGTTAGATGTAAAATTGCCGCCATATGAAATATTTATAAATTGCAATGCAAAATTCTCAAGAGTTTTGTTAGCGCAATAAAATGGAAAACATCGTTGAATGGGAATGATCCAATTCGGATGCTAATAGAATTTTTCGATATTATCTTCAAATCTGCTCTTCGTTAATGCTAAAATAACTCAGCACAAACATTTTTTCAACTTCATTGACTTTCCTTTTGATTATGATAGGAACGGAATGAATTTTCTGCATGTTATCAAAATGTAAAATATATTTTTTGATGAAAAGCTAACATCGCAGATCATTTTAAGTCAATTTATAAAAGTAACGCCGAGATATGCTAAAAATATAGTTTCATTCTTTCCATTCTATTCGATTCATTTTTCAAATTCTTTTTTCAGTCTCAATTACTCGAAGATTATTGAATAATTTTGAAATTATATACAAAGCAATAAATAGAAAATGGAATAGTTGTAAAAAAAAAAAATTTTTGGATACAATGTTGATAAAACAGTACTACTTTGTTGATATTTTGGAAAATATAGGAATAATCATCTTTAAAAGATTATGATTAAAAATGCTTTATACTTTCAGAATTGAAATAAGATCATAATATTTGTGGAAAATTGAATGGTACAATGAAACTATTAAAAAAATTTACTTGCATAAAATTTTTTAAGTTCAGAAAATGCATTCAAGCTTTTCAAAGAAAAAAAAAACAACTCAAAACAAAGACTGAATGATTCTTTAATCGAAAGCATTAAAAAATCTGCGAACACCAATATTCTACTATAATTCAACGATTCGATTATAATATTGCTCAATGCAATCGCAATACCGTTAATCGTTAGTTTTGTAATCGATATGACCCATTTGACCCATTGATTCATTTTGGATAGGTAAAAATGACCCATTTTGGATAGGTAGGTAAAAAAATCAAGTTGGTAACCAATGCAGAAGATACCATCCGATTACAAAAAAAAAATATATATATATTTCCAAAAAAAAATATATTTCCATTATCATAAATAATCTCTCAAATATAGCTATTAAAAATTTTTGCATTTAAAAAAAAAAAAATTTTCCTCCAAAATTTTTTTATTGAGCTGTTAGAATGATAAATGCATCATTGTTTGTGCAGAATTATTAGTGCTGAAAGAATTTTTTTCTACAGTAGAAAATATATCAAAAATCGGTGAGTATTGATTGATCCCAAAGATGAATAGCATTACAGAATATTGTTTATCATTCTATCTATACAGTACATTGCATTTGCATATCATTCCACTTTACAATATCTTCGAAGAGCAATTCTATCGTTTAATTCAACTTTAATAATGTTAAAGCATTAAATTATCGCTGCACAGTAAGAGAACTGTCATCGTTTTGTAGCACTGTTGTTTATTTTCGTTTTTTTTTTTTTTTACTGCACTGAATTCTGCGATCTCTTTAACATCTCATTTGACCTGAGAATTTGAAAAATTTCAATTGGAATGAATACATTAGTTGCTCTCGAAAAGATTAACAATTCAAATAATTTTAACAAAAGAGATTTTTAACAGTGTTCATAAATCATGCTCAATAATTGTTTTTTTTTTTTCCTTTAAAATGCTCTCTGAAAATAAATTAAAGCAGTTCAAAAATTAAAATTAATAAAATAGGAAGTCATTTTCTTTTTTTTTATTCCGTAATTTCTTCATCATGACTTTTTTTTTTAATGATTACATTAAAATCTTTTATATTTCGCACTGACAAAAATAGGTTATTACAAATTTATTTTTTTTTTTGCATTAAAAATTTAATATTAGAAAATTAGAAATTAATGCTTCATCATATTTGAAATTAAATTCTCGAGTGTAAATTAAGAGCTATTATGAATTTTTTTTTTTAGGTGCATTTAGTGAAAAACTTACAATATCATTTGCTCACACGTTGATGTCTCGTTATTACAGGAAACATTGTTGTTGTGAAACCACGGAAGTAAATAATTGTTGCATTTTTCATTTGGATCATCACGTCGCTGTAAATTTTAACTGCATTATAGGAATGAATGAATTGTTATTTAAAATTCGATGTAATATTAATTTTAAATCTAAAAATTAAAATTAATATAATGAGAATATTTCTTGTTAAAAAATTATATTTTCATTTACCGATTGTGGATGAGTTAATTTATTTAATTCAACATGTTCAACAACAATTTCATTAATATTTGAAGGTGTTAATGGTGGTCGGGCTAAAATACTGTGATTACGTTCGTTGCAGCAACCAAATCGTCGTTTCGTTGCAACAAAACGATGCAAGAATGGCAATGATACCACATATGGATCGATTCTAGAATTCTTGAAATTATTTAGTTTTTGTTTGATTCGTTTTGAAGTCAGTGATAAAATTTAACTCAACTCGTCATCTCATTTCCATATTTTGATGTGTTTCAGTTTTCTGAATGTATTCAAAGTTAACATGAGCTTTTAATATGAAAAAATTAGCATGAGCTCATAAGCATGCAAACTTATAAAGAGCTTCCTATTTTTGTTTGGAAATTTCGCTTGATAAATTAAGGTACTTATTGCAGAATAATGTGAGAAGCTTTTTTGGCAATTTTTAATTTATGTAAAATATTTGAAATGCATCGCAGTAATTTTTATGAACATTTATTTTCGTATTTTTTGAATTTTTCAAATGTTGAACGTGATCTTTTCTTTTTTTTTTTTT